CCCTGTGAGGTAGGTGGGGCCGAGAGAGCTCTTTTGAGGACTGCCCTTGAGAGAACAGCTCTGAAAGAACTTGTAACTGACCCAAGGTCACACCAGCAGCTACATGTGGAGCAGTGGGGACTCAAACCTGGTTCTCCGATTAGTCTACATTCCTAACCACTACACCAAACTAGCTCTCCACCAAAGTGGTGCTAAATTTATTGATGGGGACAAGAATTATTTTTACTAGACCTTAGAAGCCCCAGACCTTTCCTAATAAAAATTAATGAGTGTTGAAAGTTTATAATACTGTGCAAATCAAACATTAACTGCGCTGCAACATTTTGGGAATGTAAAGCATGAAGAAGAAAGTTGGAAACTTTTAATTAGATATTTAAATTTAGTGCGCCTTGGTGTTTAGTCATGCCGGCCACATGACCACGGAAACGTCTTCGGACAGCGCTGGCTCTTCGGCTTTGAAGCGGAGATGAGCATCGCAACCCTAGAGTCGGATTCAACTGGCTTTCGAGCAAGGGAACCTTTACCTTTTAATGCATAAAACAGTATCTTTTGTTAGTTAGGAACGAATGTACATCCGCTGATTTTTCAACCTGAAATATTGTTTTTGTTGTTGTTCAGTCAACAACATTGTTTTGCACAACTATATTGTTTTGCAATATAGTCCCTTGGACTGCAAGAAGATCAAATCAGTCAATCCTAAAAGAAATCAACCCTGACTGTTCCCTGGAAGGCCAGATAATGAAACTGACGCTCAAATACTTTGGCCACCAAATGAGAAGGGAGCACTCCCTGGAGAAGACCCTGATGCTGGGAAAGATTGAAGGTCAAAGAAGATGGGGACGGCAAAGGATGAGATGGTTAGACAGTGTCATAGATGCAGCGAACATGAAATTGAGCCAACTTCAGAGGAGGGCCTGGCGGGAACTGGTCCATGGGGTAGTGAAGAGTCGGACTTGACTGTGCGACTGAACAACAACAACTGTTTTGCACAACTATAATTCATGTAATGATGCTACAATAGATAACATGTGATTTTCAAAATTGGGGCAAGAAAAAGGATTTTAAGCCTGCAAACCCTGTGCATGCTTACTTGCAGATGTTTAAAAACGGCTACTTCACAACCCTTGCAGATGTTTCTAGAGAAATTAAAGCGCTTCCCACGTGTGCTAATAACGGCGCAGGTATTCTGGTCTGCATCGATACTTCAAATCGTGACTCACAGAAGAATCTGACGAAAAAGTTACCGATTTCTTATCATGCAAAAAGTATGTTTCCTCGGGAACTGCTCGTAGGCACTGCTTGTGAGATGCAGAACAAGAGGAGAAAAAGGTGGGATACGGATGGAGCGGGACATTTTCGACCGTGTCTGTATTTGTACTGTGTATTATTTTTTAAACGCACCCGGTTGTTTTTAGGACCGGCAGCCACTTCCCCGGGGATGCGTGGGCTAGTTCGCGCCCCCTCGGTCTGAAGCGGTTTCCAAAAAAAGAAAACACTCGGCTGGCTAAAGCGTCACGGGCCGGCCAACAGGGTCGTCATTCTTTCCAGCCCCGCGGAACTCTAGGAAGCCGTTACGCTTCCTCAAGAGCAGGCCCTGCCCGCGCAACCGACCGAGGGAGCCAGACGGGGGGGGGGGGGGCAGTCAACACGG